TAGCCATTTAAACGAAATAATTTTTTTAAACTTTTCTAGATGCATTTTATTAATTTTAAGTATTTGATCAACAAAATATGTAAAAATAATTATTAATTTAGTGAATTCAAAAATACATGTCACTTATACTGGTATAATATTTAATAAGGTAATGTAATGTTAAGTATAAAGTAGTATTATAGTAAAGTAAATTTATTTGTTTATGTGCAGCATTACTAATAATAAATGATATGATATTTTGTTTTATGGCAATGTTACTGTTTTTAACATAACTTATTTGAAGTCAATATAAACATTTATAAATTTTATTACTATGAAATACTTGTTTACTTCAAAAGATTAAATAAGATAAACATGTAATATATTAATTAAATCTACCTTTACAAATTCACATATAATTATAAAAACATTTTATATGCCATATAATATGTTAATATATAAATTGCTTGCATGGTATACTAGGATATTAAGCAAAATTCCTACTTATACATAATTTGTATATCTATTGTGTAATATTACAAATACCTTTAAAGTTTAACTTCTTGCTTACTACATTATAATTATAATTAAATGTTAGATAAATTGGGTTCTGTTGCTAATTTCTATTCAATTTCTAGATAATTAGAAATTATTATTTTTTTGTTCGATGAACTTGATTCATTTTATTTTTTAAAGTTTTTCATGAATATTTAAAGTAATTATAATTATTATACCGAAACTAATGATAATTAATTACATTATATTTTGAACATTATTATTTTTGTCTAATAATAATAGCTTATAAGAATATTTTATATATCAGGAGAATTCAATTCAATTCAGTTTAATTCAATTCAGTTTATCTAAAATACATATTCTGTAATATTCACCAATGAATAAATTACTTATATCTAATCAATTTGTATTTTATTACATGTTTACAAAAAATAATTATTGCAATTATATAATAATTATACAGTCATACTTAAAGTAATATTCATAAGTAATGATTGAGTAAACTGATTCACTATTGCTTCATTTTCTATAAAAGTTATAATTAGTCTCAATGTTTCAATAGTTTATAAAAATCAATATATTATGATTATCAAAAAATTATTACGGTCGGATTATAGCCTTAAATTGTATTTTTCTAATTTGAAAACATTGTTTGTAACTTGTGTATATTTTATCTAACGTTGATTAAATGGACAAGTTGAGTAAACTAGCTAAAGTTATATCAGCGACTTATATATAAATAATTGTTAATTACAAGGTAATTTATATTATAAAATAGTTAAGTATTTATATCGCTTATATAAGATATTTTACGTAACTGGATATGAACCTTTTATCTACTTACAAACTCTTTAAGCCAGGCGATAAATAGTTTATATTGAGTAAATATTGAATAGTAAAATACACTAGTATAGTAATACAATAGTAATAATTGTTAGATAATTTGAACTGTATTTCATAATAACAAACTAATAGATTTGATTAAAATGTTAGTTTTTAAACAGATAATTAGTTTAGTTTTATTATGTGTATTTTGTTTTAACTATTATTTATCATATTGCTTTAATATAACAAATTAATTAAGTTATTTTATAAAATATATTTTTATTATAATAAAAAAGATTTTTATTTATGAAATTTTATTTATTTTTCAAATTAATATAATTTAATTAGTATATTTTACCAAGAATAATACAATGAATACAAAATTTATTGAACATTTATGCATTCAATTAACATAACTATTGTGTTTTTAAAACAGGATTAAACAATATAGTTTTTGATTTATAAAATTTTAATAAAAATGTATTCTCATTATTAAATAAAATAAATAAATCTGGATTACAATTAAGTTGCTTACATGGTAAACTCCATTTGTGCATCCCTGTTAATAATTCACTTGTATCAGGTCGACTATTAATATGATGGCTTATCATTTAAAATGCAATTGTTGCAAGCTCATTTTCATAAGCCTCGATTGACCTATTCCCATTAAAAATAAGTAATTATCATATTAACAAAACTCACATTTTTGTTTGATATAATATAGTTATAAATAAATGCGAGTAAAACTGTAACAATAATTAATCAAATTGTTTATGCCATTTTGTTTAATTTAATTATTATTTATAAAATCAATCAAAATTATAATTTATTATAAATATTATTTTGTCTATACTGTATTTATAAATTCTAAATATATACTATATTTTGTGACTTGTTTTTAAAGTTTTATAATAGATTTTAAAAGTAACTTAATATATAAGTTTTGCTAAAATATTTTATTATAATGATAAAAGTGGTCAATTATTTTGTATAACAATAATTTTATTACAAATTTTGTTACAACAAAGTATTATGAGACGAGTGATGAGTCTAATGGCGCTCTCGATGGCTATCCTTGCGATGCTTTACTACGCGACCACTCAATCCAATGACACCAACGAAAAAATGATGGCTTCTGTCACTCAATCCATAAGGGGTTCGCCGATCGGACAGCAAGTCATGTGTTCTCAAGACTATAACGAAGACAGAGTTTAGTTCCCGTCTTGTGCTCCTCAAAGATGCGGACGTTTTGTGTCCGATTCGATGGTCACTGAATCGGAAGTCAAACACTTGTTGTCAGTCGCGAAGAAAGGCTTATCATTGGGCGGCGCTTCGGGCAGCATATCTACCCTCAACTTACATAAGGGCGACCTATCGATGGCAACTAATTTCGTAAATATCTATAAACTCATTGAACGTCAACAACAAACGGAAGATGACATCAAAGAGCTGTTCACCGAAAAAGACTTAGAAGTCTACAGACGGGTGACCAATAAAATCCGCGAAACGATTGCCAGTCATTTCGGCATCTCTTCGGCTCAGCTCTACTTAACGACTAATACTTTCTTTCGACGAATTACAGCAAAGAGACCACAACCCAGACACGACTTCTATTGGCGCCGACACGTCGACAAAAGTGAAATAAAGATGGTTCAGTTCACTGGTTTGCTATTTATGTCGACATATGGCCCGGACTTCTCGGGCGGACGCTTTATATTCAAAGACGAGATGTCGAACACAACAATTGAGCCCAAGTTGGGAAGAGTGGCGGCGTTCACGTCGGGCGCAGAGAACCGGCACTTCGCCGAGAGGGTCACCTCTGGGACCCGATATATACTGCTTATGGGCTTCACGTGTGACCCTATGTTCGCCGCCAAAGACCTGCAGATTCTTAGACCGCAGACATGCGCTCAAACATTTTGTTCTCTGTATAAAATAGGCTGTCCAACCTTGAATTTACCTGAATTCCAATAGATATTATCAGACTGACCAAGTGGACACTATTGGGGTCATATATTTTTATATAACTGTATTAGTACTGTAACAGTCATATGGAAAACATAGATGAAAGTCTTTTTTGTATTACCTTCTCTCACAAGTCAGATGATAACAAATATTTTGACATTTTTGATAAAAAAAATAAATAATTAAAATTTTTATAATACTAAACTTTTAAGGACAAATTTATTAGAAAAAATAATAATTTTAGTACATATGATAGTTTTAATAAAATATTTATTACAAAGCCAACAAATATATTAATTACAAATAAAGTATAATAATCTAAATACAAACATTAGAATTTATATAATTAAATAAAATAAAAACTTTTTATTGTTTTAATATGTTACTATTGCTAAAACATCTATTTTAATAATAATTATGGTTTTGCCCATTATAATCTTGAATACAAATCCCAGTAAAATATAAATATTATAAACTAGTTAAACACTTTTAATAATTTTGTCATATTAATTATAATTGAGTAAACTGATTCATTTTTGCTTAATTCACTTTAAAATTATAATTATTCTTAATGCTTCATTACAGTTTATAAAAAATAAAAATGTTCATCAAAATATTTTTACAGTCAGTTTGATTATCATAGCCATAAATTGTAGTTTTCTAATTGAAAACATCGTTTATAACTTGTGTATATATTATCAAACTTTTATTAAATGGACCAATTGAATAAACTAGCCAAAATATTAGCGATTTATTTTTTATATCAGTAATTTTTTTAAAATTTTGTATTGTTATTATAATTAATATCATTTTATTAATATGACATAAATTTATAACATTTTAACGAACCCATGTTTCACTAAGATATCTATGTTTTAGTTACAAAATAAACTTTCAAAAATAACTTAATTTTATTGTCTATAAATGTTATTATGTTTAAATGAACCCTGTAATTATATTGAAGCTTAGTTGTAAGATTTCTATGATATTTATTATAAGAAAAACAAAATGATCCGGGTAATAACTATTTTTAAAAACAAACAGGTAATATGCTCAAAAATAAACAGTTTAATTTTATTTCAACATACAAGTATATGAAGTGGCATATTTTTGTTCTACCATGTTATATTATATATTTATATCTATAGCCTATAGGTGAATAACAAAATAGACTTTCAAATTCTAAATTACTATAAAATTTATAATGTTTACAAAGCACACTATAATTATATTAATGAATAATTGTAAGGCATTTATTATTTCCCTTACCTAAATAATTTGAAATATAAATACATGTATCCTCTTTTATTGTAATCTTTAACTAGATCAATTTTGTGTGTGTGAGAGAGGGGTATTATAGTGAGAGGCATAATGAAATTCATGTTTAAAGCCTGGTTTCAACACTTGTTAACACTCTTGGCACTCGTGGGTCACCATTAATACTGCGATTGCTTCGTAGATGTTGTTTAAAAACAATTCCTTGAGGGAGTGGGTTGGCTACCCCTGTCCCAGATGTTAATCTTAACATTTTATTTAATTTAATATCAAAAATATTTATTTGTAACTAAACCCTTCCCTGTTTACATTCAATATGTGAACAGTTTTTCATAAAAACCTTTTTATGATTAATTAAAAACAAACTTTAAAACATTTGTCCATTTGTTTCTAAATAAAATTACTTTAAACCCTGGTCATCAGATTAAAAGAGCTGTATCATGTCTCAAATATTCTTGAACATTTTCCAGCTCATGTCACGTTTCACACGCCTCTTAGCCTTCATTATATTAATGGGCAATATATGGACGACCAGATCGTGCGCCGGCATATCCGGAAAGAGTCAGATATTGTTTGCCATGGCCTACATCACCAGATATTGTGACTTCTTTATGCATTATCACCTTCTTTACCACACCCTCTATAAGGTATGGGTCATCGGCTCATTGTTCACTCAATCCATTTAATCAATATATACCTCGATGTCCAACAGATAGTATTAATCGTCACCTCTTTGGCCACTCTATACCTAATTTACGCGAAATTCAAGGCCACTTACGATCGAAATCACGACACCTTTCGCATCGAATTTCTCTTGATTCCGGTCACCCTTTTAGGTCTGTTAGTCAACCACGAGTTCACACCTATAGAGGTAAGCCATGCGAGCATATTGCGGAAAACTGTTGAATAGATTGATGCCATACCCATACATGTAGCGCCGGCATTGACTTTTGTAAGGCAGTGAAGTGTTTTTAAAAGGAAACTATTGTGACTTATAATTACACTTCCCTACCTTGAAAATGTCAATGCCCGGGGGCCAACATGTATGCGGTGACACAGTTATGGGTGCAGGTGCTGTGGGCATTCTCCATATACCTGGAATCGGTGGCCATTTTGCCGCAACTTTTTATGGTGTCGAAGACGGGCGAAGCCAAGACCATAACCTCTCACTATCTGATGGCGTTGGGCTCATACCGGGCCCTATATCTCATGGACTGGATGTGGCACTACTATTTCTACGGCCATTACGACCTGATCGCCATTGGGGGCGGAATTGTCCAAACAGTCCTCTACTGTGACTTCTTCTACCTATACATCACTCGGGGTTTGTGTCCATACATTGATTACTCAAAAGATTGCCATTTATGATGAAATGTATGCCTTTTTAACAGTGATTTGGGGCCGCACTCTACTACAGTGTGATGAAGTGTAGTGTCTAAGTGTAGGTGCGTTTAGATACTGGTAACACACACACACACCAAAGCAATACCGATACACCATTTTTGTTGACTATTAAACTTATTAATAAATTTTTGTTTTTAATTTGATTTAAAAATAATTTCTCGATTTCGTTATCTATATAATAAACATTGTTTTCCTATGTTTTCGTGTATAATAAAACTTATTTAGTTAAAAGTTTTTAATTTAATATGATATTATTTACTTAGTAAATATTATGGTCATTATTATTCTCAATGTTTTAGTACAATGAATGCAATAATATGTTTATTAAAAATTATATAATTTAAATGTCAATTTGATTTGTTGCTAAAAAATAATATTTATTGATAAGTTACAAACATAAATGTATTTAAAACAAATTCATTAATATTTTTAAAAATTATATTTTAAATTAATAAATATTATTTGTACGTTCTGGAGTAATAATATTATCATGATGAAAAATTCATGGTAAAAGTTCTTGACATTTACCACCCGAACAATAAAGTCCCGGGCAACATTGATTTACATTAGGATGTGTACTTGAACATTTTGCATTAACGTTTTTGCACTTTGCAGCTAAAAACAAACAATTTTAATTTTTAAAATTTTTATTAATTTCGTTAATAAAAGTAAACTACCTGTGTACTGAATGTACATGAACATTACTGTCATCGTGATAAGTACCACCAGAAACTGTACTTTTCTAATTGAAAACATCGTTATTAGCATTTTGTTATAGTTTGTCAAACTTTGACTAGCTAGACAAGTTAGCAAACATATTTTTATTTCAGCTACTTGATTCTTTATATATAATTATATATTTCTTTAATTCTTTATATATAATTCTTTATATTAAATTAAAATTAAAATTCTTTATACTAGTTGAAAATTTTGTTTTTATTTTTGCATCGTTTATATTATTAATATGCAAGGCTGAAAATAGCAGTGAAGTTTATTTTTCGTAAAATATTTCACCACTCATATCCTTGTTAATGTGACATGCAACAATTTAGCACAATCATGTTGCAACATTTATGCATAGGGCTGCTAACAATTTCAATTGCCTGGGAGGAAAATATTCAAAATTGAGCCTGGCCAGGAGGACACTGGAAGGACAAAATTATTAAAAACTTCCAGTCCCGCCATTGAACTCACGGTAACAGTAATACCAGTCCCTTTGTAATATTCGTTTTAACAGCATTTCCAGTGCCGCCATTCAATTCAC